GAAAGTTTGTCTTCCTGCTTTTGTTATACTTTTGTTTTTAGCATAACCTCGTTTATAGTCGTACTGTGCATTGCCAGAGTCACATTTCAACAAAGGAGATTTCCGCGAAAGTGTTCCTTTTTGTTATTTGTCTTGAATTTTGTACCAATATGAAATCAACCGATATTCGTGTAATTTTTTTCATGAGTGTAAACTTTGTAATAATGCTGCATATGCTGCACGCAACATAAGCCAAGCAGTTGGGGAGAATGTAGTTAATGATCGAAAAGTGCAGCGTTGGTTTGAAAAATTTCGTTCTGCTGATTTTTCACTACAGAATCATCCGCGTGGAAGACCCAAAACTTCTGTGAAATGTGATGATCTAAAGGGATAGGTGGAAGCGAATTCAACTGTATCCATTAGAGAACTTGCTACCAGGATGAACGTTGACCATACAACAATATTACGGCATCTTTCTGGAATTGGCAAGGTAAAGAAAATGCATATATGGGTACCGCACGAACTAACCGAGCGAAATAAGCTGGATCGGTGAACGTATACTCATTGTTACTAACCCGATTTCACCGAGAGCCATTTTTTGATCGGATTATCACCTGTGATCAGAAATGGGTTCTTTACGATAACAGGAAAACGTGTGCTCGGTGGCTTGATAGGGATGAGGTTTGTGCCCATACTCCAAGGCCGTGACTTCATCCACGAAAGATTTTAATCACAGTTTGGTGGAATGTCACTGGGATAATTCATTACTCGTTCCTTCGAACTGGGAATACAATTACGGCCGAAAAGTACTGCCAGTACATTGATAAGATGCACGAAAAATTGAAAATTATACGTCCGGCACTTCTCAATCGGCATGGCCCACTACTTCTCCATGACAATGCTCGACCGCATACATCGCACAAAACAACTGCGAAATTAAATGAATTAAAATATGAAGTTTTTCAGCACCCAACCTATTCACCTGATCTCTCGCCAACGGACTCTCATTTTTTTAAACATTTAGAACTGTTTTACGGGCTAAACAGTATGAAAATGAAGACAGTTTGAAAAATTCAATATCAGAGTTTACTGATTCTAAAGATCAGAATTTTTTTAAGACAGGCATCTATGCTTTAAAGTCTCGCTGGGAAAGGTGTATTGGAGCGAATGGAGCGTATTTTGATTGAATAAACAGATTTTGAAAAAAGATATGCAATTTTATACTTTCACTTAAAAATCCGACATTTCATACGCACCAATCTAATACTTCATTGGGACTCTTTCCAAAAATTTTCAAAATTTTCACGGCGAAAATTGAAAATTTCGTGACATAGACGAGTCTAGTCAATTTTTTCTTCTCTTTAGAATTTTTGAGCTAATATTTTTGCTGAAATGAAGGGATCAGAACCTATTGCATTGCCATAGCCATTTCAATTCGTATAGGTTTCTGATTAAAATTTTCAATTGTATTGACATCTTTGACTAATATCGTGATGAGCTAATATTTTTGCATAAATGAAGAGATCAGAAATATTTTGATACTAAATTATATTATAGGAAAATTTTATTAGTTCCATAATAACGAATCGATGATTTTTGCCTCGAAAATTCCGTGAAATTAACGAGGGTGGTTTTTTAAATTGATATATATTTTAATGCATTAATCTATAAAAAAGAGATAATAATTTAGAAGATACCTTAATTTAAATTTCGTTAAAGGGCTATCATTCTCTCTATCACTCTGCTGTTATTTTTATTACTCGATTAAAATCCAATTCGTATTAACGGGACACTGATATTCTCCCTTTCGACGGCTTAAAATATTTTCCACTAAATTCCGCATTTCATTTCACGCAGAACAAATGTATATTCCCAACACGCATAGAAGAACAAAGAAAAAAATTTCAATTCCGCGAAATCAAATATTTTTCGACGTCACCTCGCCGCTGCCTCCTCTTCAGGAAATCAACGCGAATTTTGTTCCAGGAACGGCTTTCACGTCAAACAAGTGCACATTTTATCCTCGTTAATAACAAACGTTTCACGAAATTTGCAAAAATTTCCAAGAATTAAGGGAAATAACGCTACGTGAAAAACTGCAGCTGGAAAAAATACGAAGAATCAACAATTTTCGTAGTTATCTTTCACGGGACGCAAATAACTTTACTGGAAAATGGCGAAATTAAAAGGCGCGAGTAGAATTAATAAATAAAATTAAACAGCGTTGCCTTTTCGGTTTCGTTGGTGGTCCAGTGCCTCTTAATCGTTGGGGAATTTCGCGATTGAAATTGTAAATCGTCACTAAGTCGATTTTAGTTGGCGACAGTTAGTGACAGACGGTTCTTTGAGGAAGGTTGTGTCTAGCTTCGAAGTGCTAAGTGGACTGTATTTTAGTAGAACTCCCTTCGTGACTGCTCTGTCGGTGGTTTTGTAAGCTTCCTCTGTCTACTGATTGGTTGCGAATAATATTGAGGGTGTGTGCTAGCTCCAGCGTCTTTCGGTGGTGATGGTTGTTTAAACAATCTGGGTCCTTATGTCTGTCGTCTTAAAGGTGATATATTGTTACTTCTTACGGTTTACCCAAGTGGTGGCTTAGGTGACAATGAGTGTATAGAAGTCAAGGGACGCTGACAATAAGGATATAAAACAGTCTTCCACTTGGTCTGGGACATTGCGGTCCTAGGGCCGCGACAATGGTACTTGTAAAATTTCAGAGCCTTCGCATTTAGATGCACAGTCTGTCCTAAACAAAAGGATGAACGGAATACCGGTGTAGCGTCCTATTTATCGAATCCCTTCGATGTCCTAGAACGCTTATCACGCGCCAAATTAATATTGCGTGATTAGTTGCAATAATAAGGATCCGAAGTGTGTGTTGATAAAAGAGAGCGTTTATTTACAGAAAGTATAGAATAGTTATAACGGAGACGTTAAACGGAGTACCGTTTCGAACACGCGTTTATACGTGTAAGTAAGATGTTTCAAGGATCGGTGTCGAAGACGAACCGATTTCTCGAATTTGATCTACGTCGTGTCTCGTCGTGTCCTGTCCGGTGTTTTCTCCAGTTTAGTTCCGATTGGACAAAATAAACGTTGGTGCTGGAAAAGTAAGGAGTTTCAATTGGACAGAGGGTGTGACGGGAGGACTTTTGGCTAAGGAGTAGGAAACTGTCAAGGAGCCGATTTTTGATGGTCAAAGACGTGATTTACAAGTGGTGTCCGTTCGTCGCTTGTTGGGTCTGTTACACGTGGGTCCCATCTGTCGAGTCTGGTACTTGTAAAAATTCCTAAACTTTCGCCTTTGCCTTTACAACTTAATGTGTTAGAACGGCGGTGAGGCACATCTATCCTCCGGAATTGCAGTCGCGATGTAAAATATATTGTAAACCGTTAGGTCAGTTAAAAGCGTAAGCCTTAGAATAAAAATCATGTTATAAACACGCTCTCCGGGACGGAACAACGATATTTCAAGGATTAACAGGAATTTCAGAGATTCACCCCTTCGTTTCTATCTTCCCTTTCTTTTTTTCAATTAAAATAGGAACCTGCAACGGTTGTTAAGCGTTTGTATGGTAAATTAAGCTCGTTGCACGGAGTAATCGCTATTGGTTTGCCTGACGAGGCAAATGAACTGAACGGTTTTACCCGTGAAATCATGGCGATCGAATTCCTGTTGTTCCGTGTAAAAACGTGGATCAACGAGCTGGAATGATTGGAGCAGTTAAGGGTGGTGTTACGTGTCTGTAACGAGAGCGCGGGAAATTCGAATGGGGAATTTTGAGATAGCTGGACGAAATTAATATAATTTTTGACGGAAATGGGGAATTTCTGGCTGGGTTCAATGATCAAAGCGATTTACTGTTTTGGAGATAATTATTTTCGTCGGACTAGAGGAAATTAAATTCGAAGAATTTCGTTTGGTTATGAGGAATAATTCGTTTTGGTGAATATAATTTAGTAAATATAATGAATTTTTGAAGAGGGATTTCTGAGAGTTTCGAAAATGTGGTGTCAGCTGGGTGAACAAATAGCAGGCATTTTGATGCAAGTTATATTTTCTTGACCTACTTTAGAATTTTAATAATTACGTGTGTCGTGAGAATTATGAAAGTACATAGTAATTGAATTTTGAACGTATTAATTTTGCTTTTTTAGATTAAATATAACAGAAATGTTTGATTGAAAGTGATCAAAATATGTAGTAACTTATTATTCGGTCAATAATACTAATTCTTTTTTGCTTGAACTATTACAATAAAAAATCACGAAATTTTGGAATTCTTTTTTCCATACAGAATCAGTTTTCGTAAAAATATAAAAATACCGATGCGAATGATCCTTATTTTTATTTCGAATTACGAATATTGCCTATTTAATTAATTTATTATTGAATAATTATTAAATTATATTCTATTTTATATTTCATATTCTCTAGATATTATTCTTGAATGATCGTTATTATTATTTCTAATTACGAGTATTGCCTATTTATTTAATTTATTATTAAATAATTATTGAATTATATTCTATTTTATATTTTATATTATCTAAATATTATTCTTGAATGATCCTTATTATTTTTCGAATTACGAGTATTGCCTATTTAATTAATTTATTCATTAATAATTATTAAATAATTATTAAATTATATTCTATTTTATATTTCATATTCTCTAATATCTTCTTTAAAAGAGTTTCTTCAAAATCACAATTATAATAATTCTTAAAATTATTTTCAAAATAATATTAGACGAGTGAAAATAAAATTGCATTAAATTCCAGTATACATCGAATTCTTGACTGAAATTTCTTCCCAACTAACATAAATCGCAAATTACCTATAAACCCGTTACACACTCCAGCAAACATCAGCCTCGCGGTATAAAGATCTAAAAACTAGCACTAGAGGCAGCACCATAAAAATCCCAGAAATCACTCCGAACGAAATACGACGTTCCTTTAAATTCCAGGCATACTGACGATCTTTGTTGTTCAATAAGGTGTTTCACGGTGTGTTCCAGGTCGTAAGAGGAAATTATGAGGTGGCTGTGGATTATCCTGCTAATGGCTATAGCGCTGCCGGCGGTCTTGCCACAGAAGCGCTCCAAGCCGAGTAAGTATTATGGCAATATTTATTTCAATTCTTTCGATTCTTTTCCATCCGCCCTTTCACCCTCGAACAACCCCTTTGCACGCGCCGGAGTGGTCGCGATCGATGAAATCTAACGACGCTTTGAATTTTTCGAGGCTACTTTCCTAAAAATTTCTGGAATAAAGGGATATGGGATGGCTGTGATATTTCTTGCGACATTTGGGATATTTCTTATCCTATGGAAGATAAGAGAGCGTTAAGAGCTACGAAGCATCTGCTACCCTCGGAGACTCGAATATCTCACTTACTCGTGTTATTAATTTCCACTGAAATGGAAATTTCATTGATTTTCTTTTACATATTTTACACATTTTACACATTTTTTCTTTTTTTCTTTCTTTTTTAATCGAGTGATGTATATTTCTCTCTCCTTTTTTAAATTTGGGGACGAATTTTTATTATTTTGTTAATTTAGGGATGGATATTCTCGTTTTAATTTAGATATGGATTTGTTTTTAAATTAAATGAATGAATATTTTTCCTTTTTTAAATTTGGGGACAGATATCCTTGTTTTAATTTAGGGATGAATTTTTTTTTTAATCCAGGAGTAAATATTGTCTTTCATTGTAATATGAGCATGAATTTTTATTTTATTTTTTTTTTATTAATTTGAAATAGAATTTGTTTTTAAATTAAAAGGATGAATATTTTTCCTTTTTTCAAATTTGGGGACAAATATCTTTGTTTTAATTTAGGGATGAATTTTTTTTTTGATCAAGTAGTAAATATTTGTCTTTCTTTGTAATTTGAGCATGAATTTTTATTCTCTTTTTAAATTTAGGGATTGATATTCCCTTTGTTTTAATTTTGGATTGAATTTGTTTTTAAATTGAGGGAATGAATATTTTTTCTTTTTCAAATTTGTGGACAGATATCCTTGTTTCAATTTAGGGATGACTTTCGTTTAGATTGGAGGATAAATATTTCTTGTTTTTTAATTTGAGAATGAATTTCTATTTTTTTCTGTCAATTTAGGGATGGACACTTTTTCCTTTTTTAATTTAGGAATTAGCTTTTCTTCTTTTTAATTTAGAATGAATTGGGTATTAGAATTTTGAGGAGTTGCTACTTCTTTCGGAAGAATCGAGGAAAGGGAAGGTCCTGTGTCTAATCATCGTGAGTTGTGGGTGAAATTTATTCGTCCTACTTTCGGATTCTTCGATGGCTTTAGTGTAACTGGAACGCGTTCTGTAATTACACGTTCAATTTACACCTACTAGACTCAATTAAGATCCCTAATTGATTTCAATTAAGGAGAATTATCGCGTAACAGCCGTGTAAGGAAACGACTCTTCCAAACTAAATTTTAGAATATTATTATTAATAATAATATCAATATTATCAATTTCGTGGATCATTCTTATTTTCCTTTACTAAAATTTTTGACAATAATAGCAAATTGTATATTCATTTACAATATCCACGTTCATTTAAAGATTCAAATATAATAAAGCACACTCTCAAATAGAAATTACTATATTTAATTATTATTAGTAATAATATCAATATTATCAATTTCGTAGATCATTCTTATTTTCTTTTACTAAAATTTTTGACAGTAATAGTAAATTGTATTTTCATTTACTATAGCCACGTTCATTTAAAGGTTCAAATATAATAAGACACACTCCCAAATAGAAATTACTATATTTAATTATTATTAGTAATAATATCAATATTATCAATTTCGTGGATCATTTTTATTTTCCTTTACTAAAATTTTTAATAGTAACAGCAAATTGTATCTTCATAATAAATTATTATGTTTAATTGTTATTGGTGATAATATCAATATTATCAATTTCGTGGATCATTCTTATTTTCCTTTACTAAAATTTTTGACAATAATAGCAAATTGTATATTCATTTACTATACCCACGTTCATTTAAAGATTCAAATATAATAAAGCACACTCCCAAATAGAAATTATTATGTTTACCACACAAATCTTTTTGAGATTAATTTTTCGCGCGAATAATTTTATATGCATTCGCGAAAATTAAATTTTACGTACATTTATTATAGTTGTGAATATACCTATTCATTTTATATAATTTTATTTAGAGACTCGAGTACTAAATACACGTGTGAGCTATTTAATAAAATTATTGTACTTAATATCCATATTTTCTGGTACTACGGATTCTGAATTGCCTCGTTATGGCATACGGCCATTTATTATTATTATTAAAAATTCGAGTTACAAACGAGCACGCGAGTGGTTTAATGAAAACCGGAAGATAGGTGGTATCTTTTTCACGAGCTTCCCTGACACGATAGGTGGACGGAATTTCTCGAAGGTTGCACCGACATTCATTATGCACACCTGTTACGGCAATTCGAAACTTCATTGTCCCTAATTTCGGGACCACGGCAAAAGCACGCGAAGTAAAGTCGGTATAAACAATACCTTTGAAAGCCGTGTGTAGAAGAGCAGTTCCGCGTATACAGTTACTTGAAGAATTCCGTAATCTGCCAGTCAAATTTATATGGGGAAACGAGTTTCCAGAAAGATGAGAAATATTGCGAATTTTCTGACAAATAGCGGAAAAGTATTACATTTCCCTTACTTTCTCTTACTTTATAATTTGTAATATATTTATTACAAATTATAATATACACACGTGACAAAAAGATTACAGTAATTAGATACGTGTGGTGAAATTTCTCTCAATACTATTATAGGATATTTTGTAAAAGAAATCGCGAATTGGCCATTGCCAACAGAAACAAATTATAAACCGATCGATATTTTCTAGAAGCAAATGGAAAAGTTATTTTGGCTAGCAAAATTAAGTTGCGTGGTCCCTACGGGGAGGTGAAACGTAGGTTAAGAAAAGCATAAAAGCAGGGCCCTCGACGACCAAAACATAGTCCTTAGAAATTAACCCTTCGCACTCGAGAGGCGACTCTCAGTCGCCATTTAATCAGATTCTAAAGATCGATGTTAATTAATGCATCAAATTTAAAATTACCCAACGATGCGTGGGATGTCGAAGAAAAATAATTCTACGTCTTAATTTGCGTACGATTTCTTATTTACCGTTTCAAAAATATCGTCCACCTTATGGCAGAGAGTCTTCGAATTACTATTTTTCTGTAACGAAAAAGTCGTCGAGTGCAAAGGGTTAATTGTGACCTGCACGAGCATGAGTCGCTCGGTGTTGGAAAGAGGGTTAAATTAAAGTGCGTTTCTGTGCGTTTTCGTTGCGTTATCTTGGTGTTCTTTTCCTAAGTTAAATTGGTTTTACGAGTTTTGTGTTCGTGTTATTCTGTTCTTGTTGTTCTGTCAATTTTTCGTGTCTCTAAACCAGTCTCCGCTATCCTACACTATTATTGTCTCGTCACTGTTCACTTTCACGTTTTTCATAATAAATTGACTCTACTCACAATATATTGGCACTAACCTATAACAATTGCACGGTACCACATATTCTAAATCTTCCACTCATACATATCTACAAGTTGCAATGATTTATCTTTGTAGGAAATGTTTGCTGGTGATTTAGGGAAAGTTGTAAATGAAAGAGAAATTATATATACATATATTTTTCTTTTCTTTTTCCTTTGTTTTTTTTTCTTTTTTTTTGGAAAAATTGACAGAGGTATCGATGAAAGGATAGTGGTAATTTATTATGTCTGGAATGCTTATTTATTGATAATTTTTAAAAGGACGTAGGTGAAAGAGAATTTTGGTCTTTAAAAAAATTTTTAAGCAGTTTTTAATATTTTATTTTCCCTCTCGTATCGCAGTCTCGTATGTTTTCGTTCTTCGATGTGAAACAGTTTTGCAGTATAAATGCGCTCGCGTCGTATTTTAAAGAAGTTTCACGTGTTTTCATAAGTGTGACTATGTAAATTTATTTTTTAAAATATTCCTTTCGGCGAGATCGTTTCGCAATTTTGATATTTCATTTATGAAAAGGGTACATAAATTCTTCGTTACCCCATATAGAAATTTTCATCTAGCAGAGAAAGAACAAAAATTCGTGAAAGCTACGCGAATTCTATGCCTGTTAAAACACGTCCCATCTTGTTATTTGTCGAACAGAAAATTGCAGCACGAAAGCTATTCAATAAAACAAAGGCAATTAGTTTAACTTCTAACGGCAACTCGGGGAGATAATTTAAAATTCATGAAAAATTTCGTAAATATAATTCACTCATCGTCAGACATTCTCAATAATAGAGAAAGCAATAAGTGAATAAATTGAAATGAAACATTGAAATTTCTACTGTATAGAAATTACAATAAAAAAATTCACACAAAGAGACAAATTCCACCGAGTCACCTAAACGAGTTCGTTCCTTCCTATCATACTGAGAAATCAAAATTAAAAAGTAAGCGAATAAATAAATAATTACGTATCCAACATTTACGAAAAATCTCACAAATTCCACTCAAACGGTCCTAATAATAAAAAGAATGCAATAAATGGATAAATTCAAATAAAATTTCGGAATTCTTATTACAAAAAAAAATTTTGTTAAATTTACACAAAGAGAAAAATTCCATCGAGTCACCTAAACGAATTCATTCCGTCCTATCACACTGAGAAATCCAAATTAAAAAGTAAGCGAATAAATAAATAATTACGTATCCAATATGTATGAAAAATCTCTCAATTTCCACTCAAACAATCTTAATAATTAAAAAAATGCAATAAATGGATAAATTCAAATAAAATTTCGGAATTCTTATTGCCAAAGACAATTTTTAAAAAATCCATACGAAAAGAAAAATTCTATCGAGTCATCCAAACAAATTCATCTCTTTCTGTCACATTGAGAAATCAAAACTATAAAGTAAGCGAATAAATAAATAATTACGTATCCAATATTCAGAAGAAATTTATTACATTCCACTCAATTCTAAAAATAAAAAAATTCAATAAATCAATAAATTCAAACAAAAATTCGGAAATCTTTTTGCCAGAATTTCCGAATTCTTATTGCAAA